TAATCTCCAGCACCTGACACAGAGCCTGCTATAGCCCTGGCCCTTGAAATGATGCTTATTGATTGATGGGTGAATGAACTGGTGGTAATGCACATGAAAAGTACATGATGTACACGATATATACATATATACATATATGTACTTCATGTAGATTATATACACACATGCATCTATACGTGTACACATATACATAGTCACAAGAGTACTGCAAACATCTTCACATATAAGAAATAAAATATTATAATTGGTCTTTAATCTTTGCCTTATATTTCTCCTAGATGTTATATGTTGAATTTTCCCTTAAGTTCTGGGGTTTTTGTCACAAAACCTGAAAATCTTTCAGTTCATTAAATTTCCATTTTTTTTCCCCATTCAGGATTATACTTAACTTTGCTGGGTAAGTTACCTTTGTTGTAACCCCAGCTCTTTTGCTTTATGGAATATAGTATTCCAAGACTTGTGGTCCTTCAGTGTGGTAGCTGCTAGGTCTTATGTAATCATTATTGTAGCTCAGTGGTATTTAAATTATTTTTTTCCTGTTGCTTCCAACATTTTTTCCTTAACCTGGCAACTTTGAAACTTGGCTATGATATTCCTGTCACTTTTCCTCCTGGGACCTCTTTCAGGTGGTGATCAGTGGATTTTTTATTTGCCTTCTTGTTCTAGACCTTCAGGGCAATTTTCCTTGATAATTTCTTGTAACATTGAATCAAGATTCTTTTTTGTGATTTTCAAGTAGTCCAACTGTTCTTGTATTATTTCTCCTTGATCTGTTCTCCAAATCGGTTGTTCTTCTGATGAGGTCTTTTACTTTCTCTTCTATTTTTTCATCATTTTGACTTTGTTTTATTATTTCTGGGTGTCTTAGAGTGTCATTAGCTTCCCTTTGCCCAATTCTAGTTTTCAAGGAATCATTTTCTTCCTTAAGTTTTTGACTTTCTTAAGGACTTAAGGGTTGATGTTCTTTTCCTAATTTTCTTGATTTTCTGGGATTGCTCTTATCTTTTTTCCCTAATATTTCCTCGATTCTCAAGTTTGATTTTTAAAGTCCTTTTTAAGTTCTTCAAATAACTCTTTATGTGCTTGGAACCATTTGATTTTTCTCATTGAAAAAGGAATGGCTTTTTAAACTCCATGATCTTCCTCTGAATATGAACCCAGATCTTCTCTATCCCCATAGTAATTATCTATGGTTGGGTTCTTTCTCCTTTGCTTACTCATTCATTTGTTTGTTTAGTTTTTAGTGGCTATTAGTATAATCAAGTTGTAATCCTGAGGTATGAGGAAGGTGCCCCAAGCCTGAGGTCCTTATTACTGTTATTTCCTATCTTGGGGCCCCACCTTGGGCTCTCCTCTCCAATCCTAAGCCACGGCACACTGTCCCACAAATGGTCTCACTCCCTGCAGTCCCTCCAGTGACTACAAACTACAGCTGTTCTTTCTGCCTTGGAACTGAACCCAGGGACTCTGCTCTCCTGTAAGTGCCCACAGCCAACAAGGTCCCTGCCTATGTAGCCCGGGATGTATCTGGTCAGCACAGTTGTGCTTGGAGTCCCAAAACAGTGGAAGGTCCTTCAGTCTTCTACTCAGCAGGTCAGACCCCTACACTGTGTTTGAGATGAAAGTGTCTAAGGTGGAGGCTGCCTCTCCACCCCGCTGTGCCCAGGCCTGGTTGTTTGTTGATTCTACAGAGAGGGCCTGGATGTGTTTGCACTTCATTTGCAGGCTGAACCTCTGCCCCTGGGTCTTTCCTGGTATCTTCTCAAATTGTCTTAGAAGGGCAACTGCTTTACCACATAATTATTTCTGCGGCTCTGAGGTGATGTTTTGTCTCTTTTTGTAGAGAAAATTTGGAGAGCCAAAAGTTTTCTGAGCTACTCTGTTGTCTTCCCAGAATCCTCTCTCACAATATATCATTACAGTGGAAAATGTACAGGATTGACAGTCAGAGGTTCTGGATTAAAATCTCAGTTGTGAGGTTTATGCCCTCTGTGACCTGGGGGAAGTCATGTAACCTATATAGGGCTGAAGCTCCTCATTTTTATGTATTTATTTACTCATTCATTTATCTATCTATCTATCTATCTATCTATCTATCTATCTATCTATCTGTTTATTTTATTTATTTATTTATTTTTTGTGAGGGCAATTGGGGTTAAGTGACTTGCCCAGAGTCACACAGCTAGTGAGTGTTATGTGTCTGAGGCCACATTTGAACTCAGATCCTCCTGAATCCAGGGCCAGTGCTCTATCCACTGCACCACCTAGCTGCCCCAAGCTCCTCATTTTTAAGATGAAGCGGTTGGACATGATGGCTTCTGATCACCCTTCCAGCTCAAAATCTAATCTTTCGGGACCATATGTATTGGACTCATTAGCTCTGTTTCTCCTGCCATGCATTGTGTGGCCTTGGGCTATCCCCTTAACCTTATTAAGCCAAAGTTTTCTCTTGAAATGTCCATGATTTACTTCCACTTGTGCACCTTAGGCACAAAGTAGAAGCGTGTCCCTCTTCCAAATGACTGGCCTTATTTTATGGAGCTAGAAAAAAGAATAACAGAATTCCTCTGGAAGAACAAAAGGTCCAGAATATCAAGGGAATTAATGAAAAGATATGCAAGGGAAGGTGGCTTAGCTGTACCAGCTCTTAAACTGTATTATAAAGCAGCGACCAAACGACTGGCCTTCAGATCCTTGAAGACAGTCCTTATATTGCCCTGACTCTCCTCTTCTCTTCTGATGCTAATCATCTGTAGGAAATACAGCTCCTTCAAGCAGTCCTTGTTTGGCACTAACTGCAGACCCTTCACCATCCTAGTTACCCTTTTCTGTATCCTCTCTAGCTTATCATCCTTCTTAAGCTGTCCTTCACAGTCCTCCAAATGACTCCTGCCCAGGGCAGAGAACAGAGTGATTCCATGTCCTTGTTCCTGGCAGCTCTGCCCTTCTTCACAAAGCTCAAGGCTGTTAGCTTTCTTGGCCTCAGGTCATTCTGCTGACTTGTCCTTGGCCCGAAATCCATGAAAACTCCAAAATGTTCTACAGATAAACCGCTAACTATGCTCCTTTCAGCTGGTACTTGTGAAACCAATATTTTGTTCCCAAGCATAATACTTCACACTTATCCCTGCTAAATGTCCTCTTATTTGATTCAGCCTGAGGATTTTTGACATCATGATTATGTCCTCCATTGTGTTAGCTTTCCCTCCCAACTTATTAGTGTCCACAAATTTGATGAACTGGGTATCTATGCCTTGATAGCACAGGACCAAGCCTAGGTGTTCCTGGGGGTTATGTCATTGAAGACTTCCTGTCCCAGTCATATAGAACTTCTGAAATCTGTTTTCTTTTGTTTTAATTTCATCCATCCAATCAGGTCTGATCCCATTTAATTGTGTTGTGTTCTAATATACATTTTCCCATCTTCTCCACAATAAGCATATGAGGTACTTTATCAAAACCTTTCCTAAAACCCAGTTAAATTTTACATACGTTTTCTTCATCTCCCAGCTTGGAACCCCATTAAAAAGGTCTAGTCCAATCTTCTACTCAGTGCAAGAGTCCTCATTGTAATCACCACCTAAACATTATTTAATCACTGCTTGTTTATTTCTGAATCTGAAGACCTTGCTCCATTGTGATAAGGCAACACAATATTGATTGAGTTCTGCTAATTTTTGGTGAGACTTTGGGAAAATTATTACTCTCTTTGAACCTCAGTTTTCTCATTTGGCAGATTTCATAACTGACCTTCCTGCCTCCCAAAGGTGTTATAAGGGTGACTGTAAAAGCCTTTGATAACCCATAAATGACTATACAAGGATAAGATGGTGGAATTATTTGTATTTCCCCTTTTTGCTTGATAATAATATTTCTTTTTGGAGAAGAAATGTTTGCAGTAGAAGAGCATGGAGGTGGGAGGGTTTTCTCATTTCAAAATTTTTTTCAGATCAAGGGTCTAGGCCTGAAACCAAGGAGTCATCTTCAGAGGTGGCCATTCTTGTTGAACCTTAATCCCAAAAAGAATGTGCAAGGGACTTCCTTTTGTCTCTAACTTGAGAAAAGCCTTGGGGTGTGATGACAAGTAATGGAGGCAACATAAAAATGAGGAGAATTGTTCTAAGTATAAAATACCGAAAGAAAAATTCCCAATAAAGTGAGAGGCCATGGGGGCAGTAAAATACGGCAGATCCTTGAGTCTATGTTCAGTCCTTTTCCCCACAGAGAGAACTTGTAGGGAAGAGTCTCCACTGGAGCCACTAGGCGGCGCAGTGGATAGAGCTCTGGCCTTGGAGTCAGGAGGACCTGAGTTTAAATGTGACCTTAGACATTTGAAACTTACTAGCTATGTGACCCTGGGCAAGTCACTTAACCCCAATTTCCTCACCACAAAAAAAAAGTCTCCATAAAATGTGGTTCACATAAAGTTAGACCAAATTCAGACCAAAGCAACTGTAACAGGATCTAATCAAATAATTTATTTGCTTACTAAAATAAATGTGGAAAATTGTTCAGTTATTAATTTAACCTTCTTGAATATCAAAGCAATAATAATAATAATGATAGTTATTATTTATGTGGCATCTATGTGCCAGGCACTGTATAAATACTTTAAAGTATTATCTCATTTGATTCTTATACCAATGAAGATAGTTACTAATATTTTCCAATTTTACAGATAAGGAAGGAGGCAAATAGAGGTTAAGTGACTTGTCCAGGGTCACACAGCTAGTTAAGTATCTGAAGCCGGATTTCAACTTGGGTCTTCCTCACTCCAGCCCCAGCACTGTATCCACTGTACCATCAACTTGCCTATATCCTGGTGAAAATCATAGTTAAAATGTAAAGAAATCTCATGAATGTAATAAATGTCAGAAAGCTTTCTTCAAGAGCATAAGATTTATTGAACATCAGAAAATTCCTAATATAGACAAAGCTTGTGAATATGATCAGTAAGATAAGGCTTTCAGTCACCAGTCATCCTTTTCTTCTCCTCACAGAATTCTTATTGGGCAGAAACCTCCTGAAGTTCTTGCCAGGGGGGAGACCGTCGGGGCAAATGCAGAGCTTACAGAGTATCAGAAAAATTGTTATGGAAAATGAACGTTAGGAATGTGGAAAGGCTTTCCACAGGACTGTTCTTATTCAACATGTGAGAATTCATACTGGTGAGAAACCTTCTCTTTGTCAGGAATGTGGAATGGCCTTCTGCCAGAAGAACGTCTGACTAGACATCACATTTATCATACCGGTGAGTAACCTTCAGTCTGTCAGGAATGTGGAATGGCCTTCTGCCAGAAAGGATGTCTGACTAGACATCACATTTGTCATACCGGTGAGAAACCTTCAGTCTGTCAGGAATGCGGAATGGCCTTCTGCCAGAAAGGACGTCTGACTAGACATCACATTTGTCATACTGGTGAGAAACCTTCAGTCTGTCAGGAATGCGGAATGGCCTTCTGCCAGAAAGGACGTCTGACTAGACATCACATTTGTCATACTGGTGAGAAACCTTCAGTCTGCCAGGAATGTGGAATGGCCTTCTGCCAGAAAGGACGTCTGACTAGACATCACATTTGTCATACTGGTGAGAAACCTTCAGTCTGTCAGGAATGTGGAATGGCCTTCTGCCAGAAAGGACGTCTGACTAGACATCACATTTGCCATACTGGTGAGAAACCTTCAGTCTGTCAGGAATGTGGAATGGCCTTCTGCCAGAAAGGACGTCTGATTAGACATCACATTTGCCATACTGGTGAGAAACCTTCAGTCTGCCAGGAATGTGGAATGGCCTTCTGCCAGAAAGGACGTCTGACCAGACATCACATTTGTCATACTGGTGAGAAACCTTCAGTCTGTCAGGAATGTGGAATGGCCTTCTGCCAGAAAGGACGTCTGACCAGACATCACATTTGTCATACTGGTGAGAAACCTTCAGTCTGTCAGGAATGTGGAATGGCCTTCTGCCAGAAAGGACGTCTGACTAGACATCACATTTGTCATACTGGTGAGTAACCTTCAGTCTGTCAGGAATGTGGAATGGCCTTCTGCCAGAAAGGACGTCTGACCAGACATCACATTTGTCATACGGGTGAGAAACCTTCAGTCTGTCAGGAATGTGGAATGGCCTTCTGCCAGTCAGGACACCTAATTCAACATCAGAAATATCATATTAGAGAGAAACTTTATGAATGTCATGAGTGTTGAAAGGCAAAACCACAGGAAGGTAACGCTTATTCAACATCAGAGAATTCTTACTGGAAATAAATCTTTTAAATGCTATGAATGTGGGCAAACCTCTCCCTAGAGGTCAACTGTTACTCAACATTGGAGAATTCATACTGGTGAAAATCCTTATCAGTGTCAAAAATGTGGGATGGCCTTCCACCAGAGTGGACACTTAACATCACCTAAGTCATACTGGAGAGAAACCTTATAAATATCCAGAAAGTGGGAAAGCCTTCCCCTGGCACTCAACTCTTGTTCAACATCAGAAAATTCATACTAGTGAGAAGCATTGTGAATGTACTGACTGTGAAAAGGCCTTCTCTGAGAGGTCATAGTTGAATCGTCATATGAGAATCCATATGGGAGAGAAACCTTTTGCATGCCCTCAATGTGGAAAGGCCCTCTACTTCAAGACTGCACTTATGCATCATGAGAGAATTCATACTGGAGAGAAAACTTATAAAGGCCATAAATGTGGGAAGGCCTTACCCTGGAAGACAGATCTTATTCAACATGTGAAAATTCATTCTGGAGAGAAACCATATGTATGTCTGAATGTGGGAAGGCCTTCCACACGAAATGAGCATGAGAAAATTCATACTGGAGAGAAACTTTATGGAAGATGTTACTCAACACATGAGAACTCATACCTGAAACCGTGTGAATGTCTTGAATGTGGGAAGGCCTTCAGCCAGAGTGGGTCCTTGACTTGACATCAAACAATTCATAGTGGATAGAAACTTTATGAATATAATGAATGTGGAAAGTTCTTCAACCAGAGCATACGATGTCCTGGACATTAGACAATCTATTCTACAGAAAAGCTTTGTGCATTTGATCTTCAAAGTTAGAAAGTACCTCAGGGACCTTCATACATGAAAAAGGTTTTTCTCTACCACACACCTGACAAATGATCACCGAGGCTGTGCTGTAAAGCAACCAATGAGAGGAAAATCCACTACTAGCCATTCCACTTTGGGGTAGTTCTAGGGATTTCATCAGGCATTAATTTGTCTCTTTCCAAGTTGTGCTCATTCCTCTCTCGTTTTGTCTGCTGCTGCCAAACAGAGCATCTTTAATTCTGCCCCATCACATCTCTTTAAGTAGTCATCAATAAACATTTATTAAGCACCTGCTGTGTGCCAGGAACTGTGCTAAGTGCAGGGGATACAAAAAAAGGCAAAAAATGGTCCTTGCTGTCAAAGAGCTTACAATTTAACAAAAGAGACAGCAAGCAAGCAAATATGTAGAAACAAATTATGTATAGGATAGATAGGAAATCGGAAGGAAGGCATTAGATTTAAGAGGGGTTGGGAAGGGCTTCTTGTAAAAGGTGGGGTTTTAATTAGGACTTCAAGGAAGCCAGGGAAGCCAGTAGGTAGAAATGAAGGAAAGAATTCCAGGGATGAAGGGCATCCAGAGAAAATGCCCAGAGCCAAGAAATAGAGCATCTTATTCATGGAACAAAAAGGAAGCCAATGTCAGTAGATCTGAAGAGTACCTGACAGGAGGTAAGGTATAAGAAGACTAGAAAAGTAGGAAGGGGGCAAAGTTGGATTGTGTATTTGCTCATGGAGGTGATAGGGAACTTCTGGAGTTTGTTGAGTGGAGATTGACACAGTTGGACTTAAATACTTGAAGATACTATTATGTCCTTCTAAGAGCCTTGTCTTTTCGAGGACAAAGATCTTCTAATTTTTTAACCATTTTTCCACATCTGGAGCTTTAGGCCTTAAACCCAAATCACTATAAGTCCCAGCCCAAATCTCACTTGATCATTGTTTGAGCTCTGATGGCTCATGTAAATAGCAATTATTTCTATTTTGGCCAGAAATCCTGAGGGTCTTCCCCTCCCAGGTTGATTTTTTTTTTTGACTAGGTAAAAGAGACCTTTTTTTGCCTAATTTCTTACCTAGCCTTAATGAGCATTGCCTCAGTCAAACTGAGGCCTTAGCTTAAAAAGAGCAAGGTCTCTCATTGCATCTAGGACCATCTTCAGTCATTCCGACCTATATCCTGCTGCTGGAACCTAATGGCTCCGGAGGAGAGAGTGAGGCTGGTGACTTGGCACAGCCCTGCCTCACTTAAATCCAATTCACTTGCAAGTCATGACACTACCTTCCTGATGTCATGGTCCTCTTTGAGAACAAAGGACAAACAATGAATAAATGAAGATAATAAGATTAACTCCATAATATTGGAACTGATTTTCATCCATGAAACAAATTACTGAAAGACCAAATTGAAGAGGCCATGTCAGGTCTGTCTTATTTGGGTTGATTCTTATTGGCATTGCTTACGGAATCTCTGCAGGTGACTTGGAAGTAGGGAAGTGGATGTGCTGGGAGGAGCCCCCCTTCAGAATGACCTTGGAGATGAGGCCTATTTCAGTGTCTCCAAAGAAAATGTATCTAAGGACTAGATGGCTCTATAAGACAGCTAAGACTTAAGGTGAAATAAGTCAATTAAAAAGACATTTGGAATGGGTTCCCAAGAACAAAGAGGCAGCTAGGTGATGCAGTAGGTAGAGCATAGGGTCTGCGGTCAAGGATCTGTTTTCAAATCCGGCCTTAGACATTCATGAACTGTGTGACCCCAGGCAGGTCACTTAACCCCTATTGTCTCAGTTCCTCATCTGTAAAATGGGAACACACCGGAAAAGGAAATGGCAAACCACTCTAGTATCTTTGCCATGGACTTTCACACAGAGTCAGACAGCACCGATCGACTGAACATCCAAGAGCAAGCTGGTTCAAGGAGACTTTATGTTTTTTAATATTGATAATGATTCCATCACTCTCATTTTCCTCTTGTATCCAGTGTTTTCCAATATTCATGTCTGCCTGTAAGAAGGTATTCCCAAGTCAAGTTGCTAATAATATGCTCAGGGCTAATAGATTTATGAGTGATCAAAGAGGGTTACTGCTGACCTAGCCATGATCACGATTTCTTTTTATTCCTCCTACAAGTTTTGGTTCACTAAAAGTCTGTCACTGTTAACCTCACCTGACCAAAACCTGTCCCACGGGATGTAAAAGTTTGCTTATAGCCTTAGACAGTCCTAAGACCAGAAGCTAGAGAAAGAATCTGATTCCTTGGTGACATATGAGTCCTTCTCAATCAGTCTATGTGAGTCCTCTAACTGGAGCTTAATCTGTAACCTGACTTAGTTTACCTAGAGTTTGTTGGAAGGTTTATTTCCTAAGGGGATGTATGAAATTATGACTCTGTTGAGCTGTTTGTTGAACTTTTATGACACTAAAGGAAGAATGGGATCATGGATCCATGTTCTCTTTAACTTTTAGAGCCTAAGAGAAATGTACAAGATTGCAATATGTAGAAGAATGATTTCTCTGTCATTCAGACATAATTTTTCCTATAACAAGCCAGGTTAGAATCCTAATGATGAAGGAAATTGTTTATTGGACTCTTGTTTTTATTCTCATCAGTATTAATCGATTCAGTGTGATTCCATAAGGGATAGTGATTGTTAGCAATTATTGGTGATATACTCATCTAATAATGCATTAAGTTGCTTTGGTCATCTAACATCAGCATAAGTTCTCATATTAATGCGTATTTTACATATATTATTGAAGGATAATTAGATAAGATAGGTTCTAGAAAGAACTTATATAAGAATATAGTAGGCCTCAAACTTTAAAACTGTAAATCTACTGTTCACCACTTATTTTTAAGTTATAAAGTTCACTTGCCTACCCACAAGAATGGTGGTGACCAAACCCAGCATGACTGGAATGTCTTGATGTGATATGGAAAGCTCCCCAACTTATTTTTGTACCTCTGGACCACATTTTCCTGCCCGACATGAGGAGGGGACTCTCTGATGGCCACTTAGTGGAGATTACCCCTGCCTTGCCCATCCTGTGACCACCCATGCTGATGCATCATTTCTGGCCCTCCTGAAAGGTCAAAATCAAGGTCTATCAACCAATGAGATTCAGTATTTCACTTTGTCTCTTCTGTATGTCTGGATATCAAGTACTATGAAAGTCAGACCTTAGGGAAATGGTGTATCTCAGGTTGTGAGGAAGATCTGAGGTCCCGTTCATTGAGGGGGTTCAGTTCCTTTAATACATGGTTGTTGGCTCAGAGCTCTGCCTCAGTGGTTTTTTCATATAGATTGAATAATTTTGGAACTCACGATGATGGTTTGGGTTTTCTTTGAGGCCTGAGCCTATACTTGAGCATAATAATAAAACCAGGTTTTTACCTCTATAATTTCTGTTATGGTAAATATATATTTGGCAACAATTACCTACCACATGAACTCAGAGACAAGCTATTTCTCCCACAATACCAAGGAATCATTTCCAAAGCTGGGTATTTTTTTTTTATCAACTCTTCCTCTCCTTTAAATGTTTGTAAGTAGTCATCTCTTGGGCTCCAAATTGAGAGGAGCCTTGAGATGCCACATCCAGGTAGGAATACAGCAGAGTGATGAGGAAAGTCATTCTCAGGGAGTCAAAATCATTGAAAGTAAAAGTCCTGTAACCCAAGCCCCAAAGCCCACTAGGATGGGACTTTCTCCTCATTGGTAGGAATCCATGCCCCCTTTCTACCTGAGGGACAGAGCAGAGCTGGGGAGAGTAGGAAAGAGGAGAGGTTCACTTTCTCATGCTCAGGACGCTTATCTTTTCAGTCTCTTGGGGCTTTGCGGTTGCATTGGGTTCTTCTGGTTTCTGGCTTTAAGAAAGAAGGTGAATGGTGCCAGCCCCACTTCAGGTTAGGGCATAAAAAGTCTTTGCAAAGAAGCTGACATGAAAGGAGCTGATGATCTTCATTATGACCCTATGCCCAGATTGGTACACTAGAGACTTGTGGGAACTTTCCCTTGGATGAGATCTGGAGTTCTCTCTCTTGGTTGGGCTGAGTTACCTCACACCCAATGGGAGAGCCATCCTCACTGTATTGCCTAGTATCTGTTCTCCTTTGTATAATGTCTGTGATTTCTCTTTTACATTGACTCGGATAAATAGGTTTCACTGGTATTGCTATGTGTCTTATCCGATTCTTTGTGACCCCATTTGGGGTTTTCTTGGCAAAGACACTGGAATGGTTTGCCATTTCTTTCTCTGTTTCATTTTACAGATGAGGAAACTGAAGCAAACAGGGTTAAGTGACTTGCCCAGGGTCACACAGCTAGTAAATGGTGTCTGAGGCTGGATTTGAACTCAGATCTTCCTGACCCCAGTCACAGAGCTCTGTCTACTGGGCCACCTACCTGCCCTGACAATATACAAACAAACAGACAAAACAATTTATATATAAGATGAATAGGAAATAATTAGCAGAAAGCATTGGAATTGAGGGGTTAAGGAAGGCTTCCAGGGACAGCTAGGTTTCCCAGTGGATAAGTGGAGAAGGGAATGGTGAAACACTTCAGTATCTTTTCCAAGAAAACCCCAAATGGGGCCAGAAGAGTTGGGACACAACTGAGCAACGTAACAAAGGAAGGATTCCTGTAGCAGGTTGATTTTATCTGGGACTTGAAGGAAGCCAGGGAAGGCAGTGGGCAGAGATAAGGAGGCACAGCATTCAGTACATGAAGGAGAGCCAGTAAAAACACCTGGGATTGGGAGGGGGGTGTCTTGTTCACGGAACAACCAGGAGGCCAGGGTCATTGCACTGAAGAATATGTTGGGGAGTAAGATGTCAGAGGGCTAGAAAGGGAGAAGGGGGCTAGTTTATAAGGGGATTGGAATGCCAAATAGAGCATTCCATGTTTGATCCTGGAGGTGATAGGGAGCCACTGGAGTGGTGTGCGTGTGTGTGTGTGTGTGTGTGTGTGTGTGTGTGAACGTGTGTATGTGGTGGTGCGTGTAGGTATGTGTGTGAGTGGGGCTGACATAAGCAGACCTGTGCTTTAGTAAAATCTCTCTAGTGGCTGAGTGGATGGTGGAAATGAAGTGGGGAAAGGCTGGAGAGAGGCAGACCCCCCCTTCCCCCAAGCAGGCTATTCCAGTAGTCTAGGCGTGAGGTGATAAGGGCCTGCACTAGGGTGGTGACAGTGACCGGGGAGAGAAGGGGGCCTACGAGAGGAATGCCGCAGAGGCGAAATGGACAGGTCTCCGTGCCATATTGGATGTGAGGGGTGAGGAATAGTGAGGAGGCCAGGATGACTCCTGGGTTCTCAGCCTGAGGCACTGTGAGGATGGTGGTGCCCCCTTCTTCTTGTTGTGGTTTGTCCTTCATTCTCAAAGAGGACACTGACATCAGGAAGGGGGTGTTATAACTCTACAGTAATAGGGAAGGTGGGAGGTGGGAGGTGGGAGAAGGGAAAGAGGGACAAAGATAGTGAGTTCTGTTTTGGATGTGTTGCGTTT